AGGGTTTAAGAGTTAAGGTTTAGGGTTTAGGGGTTTGGGTTTAGGGTTTAGGGTTTCGGGAATTAGGGTTTAGGGGTTAGGGTTTAGGGTTTAGGATTTAGGGTTAGGGTCTTGGGGTGAAATGGGCATTGTCGCTTGAGTGAGTTCTAGTGCAATATGGGTGGTTGTCAGAATTATGGTCCCTCTTTGGGTCCTTATTATAATACGGCACCTATTATTTAGGGTACCCCAAAAGGGACCATAATTTTGACAACTTCCCATATGGGTTCCCCGTTGAAATCCTGGGGAGCCCCGTTGAAATCTTGGGGAGCCCGAGTCCGAAGCCCTGAACCCTAAACCCTAAACCCTAAACCCTAAACCCTAAACCCCTAAACCCTAAACCCTAAACCCTAAACCCTAAACCCTAAACCCTCGAAGCTCTGAAGTGCTAGAGTCATAATAATCCCGGCATGAACCCGATGAGTCGAAGGGTTTAGCGTTTTGGGGTTTTGGGTTGGGGTATATGAAGTACTGCAACTGTCTAGGGACTAGAAGGGAATAGGGTTTAGGGTTCTGGGCGCTTCGGTCTCGCTTTCAAACCCTAGAACGATGCCGTAACGGGTCTCGGGCTTATGGCCTCGTGGAACCTCGTCAACACTTCATGTAAATCTGTGGGTTTAGGGGTTTAGGCTCTAGGGGTTTAGAGTTTAGGGCTTAGGGTTTAAGGTGACACTTCATGTACATCCGTGCACCCGAATCTTTTTTAGACACACAGGAGCCCGCGTTTGAGCTGATGGAGGCATTGCATTGTGCGCTTTAGGGGCTGAGAGTTTAGGGCTTAAGGAGCTGGGGTCTACACCCTGTAGCCCTCATTCAAACCCTAAACCCTAAACCCTAAACCCTAACAAGGCCTTGAGGGTTGAGGATTTTAGAGTCGAGAGTTCAGGGTTTGGGCGATAGCATTTTGGGGTTGAGAGTTGATGTTCTGCGGTGGAAGAGTTGAGGTTTCGAGCAGAGTTTTCTTAAACAAATTTTTTGTGGCCCTAAACCCTCAACCCTAAACTAAAACCCTAAACCCTAAACCCTAAACCCTAAACCCTAAACCCTAAACCCTAAACCCCAAACCCAAAACCCTAACCTTATTATATTCATACCATAAAGGAGCCCGGAGGCTCCTTCCATGTATTGAGGCCTCCACATTAGGGTTCAAGGTTTAGGGGGCGTCTCAGTGCCGTGGCCTGACGCGCGCCCCAAAACCTAAACCCTAAACCCTAAACCCTAAGCCCTAAACCCTAAACCCTAAACCCTAAGCCCTAAGCCCTAAGCCCTAAGCCCTAACACCCTAAGCCCTAAGCCATAAGCCCTAACACCCTAAACCCTAAGCCCTAAACCCACAGAGTTCTGTGGATCGGGCAGCTTTTTCGAGCCGGTTCTAGGTGTTCGGGTGCAATGTTCCCCTCCAAGGGTCCAAATTAAAAGACCCAATAATGAGGTATGTGGGTTTCAGGATAGTAGTTATGTAAGTAGCTTCACCACATATTTGACAGTATATGATTATTACACTACTTGAAAAGAATCAGCGGCAACAGAACTAGTGTAGAGCAAAGGAGCGTCCACGGCGTCCCCTTCTGCAGGGGTTGGTTTTCAGGGATTGAAGGATCTTAGGGTTTAGCGCTTTACGGGTGTCTGGGCTTGGGTTTTGGGTTATGGGTGTATGGTCTAGTCTAGAGTGTAGGGTTTTAATAAATACTAGGATTTAGGCTTAGGTTTTGATTCGAGGGGTGTGCATTTGTATACAGTCTCTCCCTGTCTTTCCCGTCCGACAGAAATAAATATCTGTATGCAACTTGCATTTTCTCAATGTCCAGTGTATTGATGCCTCAGGTTCAGCTGGACTATAATTGGTTAGGGAGGCAAGGCTGGCCCAAGCTTGGGAGCACATGTCGTGCCGGCGATGCCGACCTCGCGGAACAAATGATGTTTAGAGAGCAAGATCTTTGCGGAGTGTACGTGGGTTGACGGGCGACTTTCCGGCGCATGAGTTGGAGCCTTCCCCTAAACTTTAAACCCTATGTCGCAACCTAAAGTAGACCCCAAAATGATACACGGTTTAGGGTTTAGGGTTTAGGGTTTAGGGTTTAGGGTTTAGGTTTTAGGTTTTAGGGTTTAGGGTTTAGGGTTTGATACAACCCCAGAATAGTCCTTAAACACTCTGATACAGCCCAGAATGCCCTAAAGGTCAGCCCAAGCCCCAAATCCTGAATGCCAACGAGAATCGGCCCCAAACCCCCAACAGTTTAGGGTTTAGGGTTTAGGGTTTGGGGTTTGGGGTTTAGGGCTTAGGGTTTAGGGTTTAGGGGCCCAATATACCCTGAACCTGCACCCTAAACCCTAAGCCAGAGTAGGCCCTAAACCCCAAAAAGGCAAACCAGGCCTGGCCCCAAACCTTCCAGAGCCCAGAATGGGCTCCCCCGTAGGCGTGCCGCCCGTCTACAGGACCCTAAACCCTAAACCCTGAACCCTGAACCCTAAACTTTAAACC